TTTATGGGCATTTCGGAGCGGCTCCTGGCAGCGCCGCCAGAGCCGAGCTCTGCGGACGCTCGCTGAGCCCCATGACGTGAACCCACCGAGTGGGCTCCCGACCAAAAACGGGTGAGGAGAGCTTGTGTTTAGACAATTTGAATAAAAAGATAGCGCCAAACAGAAAAGCCTGTTTGGAGCCAGGAGTGGGAACAATAAACCCAAACGCTTTCTCTGATGGGTTGCAGATGCAGCAGTGCCGGCGATCTCCCAGTGGAAAAAGCACGGCTGCATGGAGGGATTTGCCACTTAGTCACCTAGGAAATGAAGACAGGACTTTAGCCTGCCCCAAAACTTGTAGTTTTTTTGCCTAGAAGATGAAATACAGAGAAGAAAAAAGGCAGTGCTCCTCTTTGCTTGTGCAGCACTGAAACAATGCACTGTTACCTCTTTAGTTTCATAATTAATGTGTCACTTGCATTGTCTGGGCTTATTAATTATGAGGGAATGAACCAGGGGGAATCCTTTATAGAGAATTTGTTAATTAAAGGCCCCAGAGCCAGCCCAGCCCCATAGGGTGGCCACAAGCCTGGCTCCTGCACTCATCCTGCACTGAGCTGTTGTGCACAGGGCATTCACAGCTGGACTTCTCCAAGTGCAGGGTGCGGGCTGTCTCAGCTCCAGGTCCAGGAGATGTGCCCAGGCCTAGCAGACATGGTGGAGCATCGGGGCTGTCCCTCCATGTCCATCCCCTGCAGTTTCCTCCTCCACCATTCAGTCAGGAGAGCAGCTGAAGCCACCACCACAGTACTCTCAGGGGCCAAAATTCTTCCCATAGTGCAGCTGGACTTCACCAACAACCTTGTCCACAGAGGAGCTGGGAGCTGCCCAGGTTCCTGTGGTCCCATACCAGCCATAACAGAGGGATTTTTTAGTTGGATCCATCCCACCTCACCGGAGCTACGGCAGGAGCTGATCACTGGAACAGGCTCTCGGCTCCACAGAGGAAGGCTCCTCCCAGCCCCACTATCGCTGCCTCCATCAGGAGCAGCTCTGCTCAGGGCCTGGCACTCAGCACTGACAGAGTGGCACCAATGGTCTCCAAACTGTCCCAGGAGCAGGGAGGAGGCACAGCACAATGTGGCAAGTCCTGCTGGGCCACATCCTGTCCCTTCACTCCTCTGTGGTTGTTTGACTGAGGTTTTGATCAGATGCTCAGTGAGAACATCGGCTTCAATGCCCACAGGGGTGGCTGGAGCAGCAGGGACAGAATGTGGCTTGACCCAGGGCACTGAGAGACATTCAGTGTCATTGGTGTCCCAAGCCCTTGTGTGTGGTCCTACAACTAAGACCTGGCCAAGGCCCCTCTGGGTGTCAGCAAATCCAGGTTTGGATCCCTCAGCCAGGTGCTACCAAGTGGAGAAGCCATGTCCCAACCTGCTCACCAGAACCACCTCTGCCCATCAACATGGTCTCTACAGACCTCATCCTCTGCTAAATTATTTTCATACTTAAGTAACAGGCATTATGGATCACATGGAGGGCAGAAATGCTCCCAAACTTTGCCATTAATCATCTGGACAGTCAGGAAGGAGGTGGGGGGCAGCTTCAAGCTGTGCTGTGTGATACGTCCCCTGGTCACTGCCAAAGGCACTACTCGAACTCCCCAGGGAAAGGCGTCCCATTTTCACCAAGGTTATTAATGTCCAGCCCCTCTGCACACTGGAGACCTTGTCAAACAAAACAAAAGGACGTGTTGTGGAGGAATCCTTGGCAACACAACCAACATACACATGACCTCCCGACTTGGAAAACAGATTGTCAAAAACCCAAGTGAGCAATCCCGCCACATGCAGCACAGCTCAGCTCCCCTGCCGCCCTTGCCACCGGTGACGACCCAGGATGCACAACAGTTCCCAAACCCTGCTGGAGCAAGCCAGGGAGCAAGAGGGGACATGTGGGACAAGCCTGGATGTGGCACTTTCTCTGTGGAAGCCACATGCTTGGAAAAGCCCCGTATCAGCTCATTTGTCGAGTCCTTCCCCAGGACACCTCCCATGGGTTCCCCTCAGGCAGCACATCTACCCTGGGGTATGTGTCCATGGGTGACTTCGAGGGTAGGGAAGAAGTCTCCTGAAGCTTCCTTCCTCCTTCCAGCTGTTCTCCAGGCAATGAGCAATGCAGAGGGCAGTCTGGGACATCTCCATTTTCAGAGCCTGCAGGATACTGCCCAGCATGGGGGAGATCCCAGCATGGATGTGGCATGGAGGAGACTTCCTGCTGACTCTAGCCTCCCATCTCCTCTGGCCAAGCAGGATCCATGCCCTCCTCCTGAAGATGACACTTCCCAGCGAAGGCTGCTCCTCACTCGTGTGGATAATGACAGGGATTAGCAAGTCAGGGGAGGATGAGAGCTAAACAAAGGGTCGCCTTGCAAGAGGCTGCTCCATCCATCCTGCTTGTCTTTCAATGGAGAAGGCAGAGGGCAGTGCCAGGGCAGGCCAGGGATGGCAGTGCAGCTCCACCATCACTCCTGCCCTCCTGTATGGGGGGTACAAAAGCCAACACAACACAGCAGCACCCTCCCAGTGCCGTCCCCACACGAGGGATGCTCAGCACAGCCAAGGTTCCTGCACCACCTGCAGGGTCTTTGAGGGCTCCTTTGCTTGGCCAGAGCCCAGGATTCCCCACAGGCACAGTTAGTGGCCCATTCCCATCCCCAAGGCACCCCAGGTCTCAACCCTTGGAGTTTCCAGCCTTGGCAGGAAACCAACGCAATATATCTTCCCAATTCTCAAACCCAGCAAGGCCAGACTTGCTTAAACTGGGCTGTTTCGATGAATTGGTATATGTTGGACACCCAGAACAAAAGATTCAGCTCATGATGAAAGTTTGGCAAAGCCCTAAAAACCACAGAATACAAAGAGTGTTATCATGGGAAGCACTGGTCCTCGGGACAAGCTATAATTACTTCTGTTCTGCTTCGACCACAGGGCATAAACACTGAGGACCAACAGCACAAGGGCCCATTTTCCAGAGCTGATCCCTTCAGCTGACAGGACAAGCTTTGTTGCAAAATGCCTATGTCCCTGTGAGCGACACACTGGGCTCACACCTGCAGTCCAGGTATTTCCCCCAAAACCTTTGTGAAACACCCGTTGCACCACTGACCATTGCCAGGTCAAACTTCCCTGGAAAAATTCATTTTCACTCAGGGAATACAGCCTGGAAAATTCCAGCCTTGCTGGGGAATGACAAGTGAGGGGCTGTGATGGAAACTATTTTGTAACCTTAATTATTTTACCCCAAAGGCCGGCAGCCCATAATCGCATTAGTCTCCTTGGGAACGCCTGCCCCACCAGAGCCCCTCTTGCCCTCTTATCACTCCCCCCAGGCCCCGAGAAGAGCTCCTGGGGAAGCTCAGGGGCCTGGTGAGCCCCCCGCGCACGGCCTGCCAGGCAGATCCCGGGAATGCCTGATTTATAGTGTTATGCCTCATTCTGTTTACGCCAGGCGAGTTATTTAAAATGAGGAGAGCAAGAGGAGCCCGGGTTTTGTTTAAAAGTCCGGCGAGGAGATTTGCCTTAAATAGTCAAGAGCTGAGGCTAGAGGGGAGGCCGCCCGGCAGCACGGACCTCCAGGGTGGGAGCAGAGCTGGCACCCACGGGGGGAGCTGGCTGGCTGCAGGAGAGGTGGCAGGAGCCTCCCGTTTAACCCTGGGGAGTTAAACCGCAGGATTGCTCGCAGCCCTGGCTTTGTGTTGCCTGTGGCACCGGAGACACAGTTCACCTCCACACATGAAACAGTGTCAAAGGAGCAGCAGCACTGGTCCTGCAGGCCAGCGTTCACTCTGAACCCTAATGATGGCAATCCAAAAAGCTGCTCCACAGCCAGAATTGGCGCACCCCCCTAAAGGAAGCAGTGCGCAGCCTGGCACAGCCCCAGCTCGGAACCCCCCGAGCGGCCCCCATCAGCCCTCGAGGCCTCCTCCTCCTCCTCAGGGGCAAGGCTCAACGTGAGGCCACGCTGGTGGAAGGGCCTCCCTCAGGGGCTGACACAAGCTTGGTTTGCTCGGTGCTGAGCACAAATCTGATTGCTCTCTATAAATACATCCGGGGTCAACACCAGACACAGGGAAGAGCTATTTAAACTCAAGGGGGATGCTGGCAAAAACAAAAGGCTATATATAAACTTTCCATGAGCAATGCCAGGAGAGAAGGAAGGTTTTAACTCCTGGAGCAGAGAGGTGGAGAAAGAGCCCCCCAAGGAGTGGGGTGAGGCAGTGGGATGGAGTCAGACATGTTTCTGTGTGTCCCCAGGGTTGGCAATCCCAGTTTCCCTCCATCACCTGTCCCCAAGAACAGTAAAACCAGCTGAGGGGGCAGCAACTAGCCTTGGCACTGCAGCAAGAGCTCCCAACCCCAACCCAGGCAGGACAGCAAGGGGCAAGAAGCTCTTCAGATATTTTTCCATTTTCTTGACTTATTTGGTCAAAACTGCTGATGAATTAATCAGAATAATGAGTAACTCGGGTGCCTCGAAGCACTCAGCAGCAAGGGTCAACCGCTGAAAGGCTGAGCTGCTGTGCCAAGCCTGGCACCCTTTGCTATTCCCCACATCACTGCTAATGCCTGTGTCCCCCATAATCCCTGTTCCTCTTGCTCATCCCTGCATCCCACGGTCCTGCACCCACTGTTAGCACATGCGTCACCTGCTAATCCCTAATCCTGGCAACCTTGCCCATCCCTGAACCTCGCTGATCCCTGCACCCCAAGGAGCCCTGCTGTCTGCTCCCAGTGTCCCCGTTGGATTCACCTGCCAGAACTTTGAACAGTGCTCATGGAAACAGCATGGGGAAGAAACACAATGTTTGCGAGGTGTTATGGAGACAGCGAGGAGGAGGAGGAGAAGGGGCAGCATGGTGGGGCAGGCTGGTGTCACAGCCCCAGCAAGCAGACAGGCTTGTGGGGACACCAACCTGCCTTTTTTGGAGCTTATCTCAGAGAGATCTGAGCCCAGGACGTCACCAGCCCGAGCAGAACCATTTGCAGGGAGGAGGATGAAATATTCAGAGAGGTTTAGAGCAATTCGGTGTCTCCAGCGGAGCACACTGATGAATATTTCAGAGGAACGGGCACCTGAAGGAGGGCTGGGAGCTGGCTGAGCACTCCACCAAACAGCCACCCTGTCCCTGCAGTGGCATGCACTGGCAGGGATGCTGCCAGGGATCAACTGGAAGCAGCTTGTTGGGTCAGTGACTGAGGAGGACACCTCTTCTGCAGGTGTCCCATGTCTTCCCACTCTGCTCCCAGGGGTGACAGCAGTGAGGGCTCGTTCCCATGCACATATCCATCACGGCCATCCATCAGCTATCCTGTGACACTGCAAAGGAGCTTCCTGGCAAGAGTCAAGGCAGACCCCATCTTCCCAGTTCCTCCCAGCTCACCTCCATCTCACTCATTCCCTCCAAGCAGCGTGGTCTCTGTGCTCTCACACTGTCACCCACGTGTTGGGCTCACTGTAGGGGGAAGGTGACAATGGGTGGTACAGAGGACATTCATGCTGTCATGGAAAACCCCTCTCTCTGCACCAGCTCACATGATCTGGTCCTTTCCAGGCTGTAAGAGGAGGGATCTCACCACTTGGACAGTGAAGTGTGGACTCAAGCATGAGGCCCAAAAACACTTCTCACCCTAAATTAAAGCAGAGCTGCCCACATTTGCCATACTCCCAAATCCCCGAAGCCGCAGACCTACCAGCACTGGTATTGCAACAACCAGGACAGTGTGGGGAGTCACGTCCTGAGCAAAAAGTTCAGGTCTGAGCTGAGAAAGCCTCTGGGGCAGAGAAAAGGCTGCAGGGTTTGGGATGCACCACTCAGGGATCCATGGGCACCCTGCTGTCCCCAGTCCAACACGGAGCTGCAAGTCACCACTCGACATGTGCCCTCTTGGCTACCAGCACAGTCAGCACGGGGCAGGACCCCAGCATGCTGGGAAGGAGCTTTAATTTCTGCTACATCCCCTGGGAATGGCAGCAGTGGGTCTGGGAGATGGCAGAGCAGGGATGTGGCTGGCTGAGGGAAACTTTGGGGTAGCAGGAGGGAAGGTGGCGCGGCTGTCGGCACTGCTGCCACTGCCGCCACAGGCGGCCCAGCTGGCGCTGGGGCCACATTCCCCAGGGACAGATAAAAGCTACCGTAAAAGGGGAGACCTGTCACTGGGGCTGGCCTGGCTTCTCTCAGCACAGCAGGGAGAGCGGAGCACCACTCAGAGAGCAGTGCCGGGAGCTGAGGGCCACCTTATCGGCAGCGTGCCATGGCCCCAGCACTCAGGGATTGCTGAGCGATGCCGGAGAAGGCACCGACCCACCAGGCACCTCCGAGCTGCCTTGGCCCTGTCCCCTCTGTGATGGAAACCTGCAGCTGTATGCCTGTCTGGAGCTGTCACATCCCATCAGGCTCCACTGGCCACAGAGCCCCCGGTCTGCACACTGTCCTCCCACCACGGCAGCCGTTAGGTGGGAAGCCAGGATGGCTTCTGGACAAGTCCAGGGTTTCCAGGGTACAGCCTGCACCTGGCTCCCTCCATCACCTTCACACAACCAGGGGAGGGGGAGCTCAGGCTAAGGGCAGGCAGAAGAGAGCAGCCCCCTTCAAAAGAGCAAGAAACGAGACCCTCAGCACTGCCAGCACAGAGCAGGGGCCCGGCTCCAGCAGGAGCTGCGGGGGGGGCTGCTGACTGCAGCAGCTTCTGCTTACGATGGGCAAAACGCTCAAGATCCATGAGCAGAAAGAAGCTCTTTTGGAGTGAACTGCAAAATATTGTCTTTGCACAGCTAAACTCCCCCGCCTGCGTCTTCTCCTTGAAGCCTCAGCAGCTCTCAGGGAGAAGGTTCCTTCCTGCTCACCCCTCCACGAAGGGCAGTTTCCCTCCCCGCAGTCAATTAGTGAGCCGGGGTCAGGGGTCAAGGGGCTTCCTGAGTTCACAGCGCTGATCCTTAGACCTCTGCCGAGTGGAGCCAGCCTCAAGTGGCACATACAGGGCAGCCCCCATGGTCATCCTGGGACACCCTGGGGACAATCAAGTTGTGTGTGTCCTCCGAGGTGTCCAAATTTCCCTCTTCATCAACAACCGCCACGTCCCCTCTGTGCCTGGCTCTCTGCTCCATTCCTCCCCAGACCTGACAGCCTCCAGCTGCCAGCCCGGCCCCCACGCATCTCTCCGCAGAGCCATCATGGCTTCATCCCACCACTGGCAGGTTTGCAGGGCTGGAGGAGGAGCCCACGTCTCTCCAGCTCTGTCTCCGCACCGCCACACTAACACAGGCAGCCCCACTCCATGCCAGCCCCATCGCCAGCCCCCCACAGCCACCTCCCTCTCCTCCGTGGGCCGTGCTGCGGCGGGCTGGTGGCCACTATCAAATATTGATGGAACTGCGTGGTAAATAAGCATTATGAATTTATGACTTGCTGAATTAAACAGGCCCCGGCTCGGGCCGGCTGCCGTTCAGCGAGGCGGAAGGAACAGCGGTGTTGCTGGCACATGAGCGGCAAAAGCTCAGCCCCACAGCCGACCACGTTCAAACCCAAGCCCAGGTTTCAGGAATACCCAGAGCCCTACAGCCTCAGGGAGCTTGCACCAAGGTTCCTTCTCCTCCGGCAAATCCCTCACTGCCCTCTGAATTTCAGCTCTTCCCAAGGCAGCTGACAGTGCAAACTTCCCCCTCCACGGAGCTGCAGTACCTCGGAGCAGAGAGAAGGGAGTGAATCAAGGCTTGGGTTCACCAGTTTAAACAATAGCGAGTCCAGCGCTACGGTTACGTGACTAACCAGGTTAATTAATAACATGGCGACGGGAAAGAAGCACAGAGTGAATCTGCTCGGCACAAAGGGGCTGGCAGAAACCCACCTGTGAAAACCTCAGGCAGCAGGAAGGAAAGATGCCTGGCTCTCTTGGAAGAGTCTGGTTTGCCACAGCTGATCCAACATGCTGAGTGCAAGGTGAATCACAGAATTCCAGAATGGTTTGGGTTGGAAGGGACTTTAAAGCCCATCTCATTCTAACCCCCTGCCATGGGCAGGGACACCTTCCACCAGACCAGGTTGCTCAGATCCCCATCCAACCTGGCCTTGAACGCTTCCAGGGACGGGGAAGTGTGAGAGGGAGGCACAGCTTGACATCCAAGTCTGGCTGCCTTTCTGGAAGATGTTTGGGTGTCCTTGTGAATATCTTCAGGAGAACGGAGATGAAGGGACAGGATGGTGGGAAAAGAGATGGCATAAGCACTGCAACAGCAAGACATCACCTGACCTGGGCCAGGGAGGTAAATGCCAAAGGAAAATCCAGGTGATGAATGGGATTTCCAGGACTGACACGAGAGGGAGCCCAGGAAAACATAAAAGCAGTGAGAAAGGCTCCCTGCCAGCACCATTTCCCAAGGGAGCACCATGCAGCGCTGCTCCTGTGTGAGGATCACAGAATGGTTTGGGTTGGAAGGGATCACAAAGATCATCTTGCTCCACCTCCCTGCCATGGGCAGGGACACCTTCCACGAAACCAGGTCATTCCAAGCTCCATCCAGCCTGGCCTTGGATCAAGTCCAGAGATGGAAACATTGCCCATGCAAATATGGCCCTTCACAGCTCCCTCCCACACTGCAGGTTGGCCACTCAGTGAGGCCTGGGATGTTGCTGGTACCATGTCCCCTGTGAGGTGGCAGCATGGTGTCACCAAGCCTAGCTGGTCCCCCTGCTCAGCAAATGGGACCCCCACCCTCACTGTTAACAAAGCAAATGACCTCCTCAGGGTCCCGTTGGTGTGCCAGGCTGGGGCTGGCTCCTGGCACTGGGCACATCCTCCTCCAAGAAGAAGCACTGCCAGGCCCTGGCAGGACATCACAAAGCCATCATCTGGGAATTTCAAAGTGCCCTGTACTTGGGTGACCTGCTTCCCAAATCAGCCCTGGCTGATTTGTCTTCTCCAAGCTCCTTTTCCTCGAGCAATAACTGAGCCACCAAGAAGGATTGGCAAAGGGGTTAGGCTGGCTGGGGCTGCACAGGTCAACACTCCCCACTTCCCACCCCATCTTCCTGTCCCCATGGGGTGTCCAGGGCTTTACCACCTGATGACAGCAGGAGCCACAGCCACCCCTGGCACGCTTGGCTCATCGCACAGCAGGCAGAGCCAGCTGGGCTCTTTCAGCACCACTAAATTTATCCCTGAAGACCCTCTCCTTGGTACAATCAGTTCCCATCGCCGGGTGATGCTTCGCTCCCACCCCCGCAGTTCCCCCACTGACCCCCCTTCCTCCTCCACCAGGACAGGACGTTCCCACGTGGTCACACATGAGCCGGCTGGGCTGGGAGCGGCCGCATTCACACGGGACAGCAGCAGGGCTGGACCCCCTGAGGATGCTCCAGTCTGACTGCCCCCAGCCCCTTGTTACCAGGGAAGAGCCTGTGGGCTTCAGCCCAGCCCGGGGGGGAACCTTGCTGTGCCCACCACAAGCCAAACCCTTGGACCACCATCAGCTCTTCTCCCCAGCCAGGCCAGGTGTCTCAAGCTGAGAATGGGTCCAGTGGATCTGAGCCCTGCTCACACCAAGAAGAGGGGAAAACCAAACATGGGATAAGCCCTCTCCACAGGAAGCCCAGCAGGGTCCTGGCATCACCTCACACTCTCCCTGCACCAGCACCACAGAGGTTTTGAGGTGCCAAGGAGGGGCAGTGACCATGACAAACACCATGGCATATGTTCATGTGCCAGACCTGGGGATGATTCTGTGAGCTTAAGCCACATCATTCCCTCCCCACTGATGACAGCAGGGAGAGGCCAGACGATGAGCAGATTCCAGCTCCCTTGCTGGATCCACACCCAGAGAAGCCCAGGGAGCTTGAACACTAATTTATTGAGCTTCCGAGGCCACATAAAAAGCTTATTCCTGCATGGCTACACTATCAAAATCAGAGATATTGCTGACCGTGCATTTGTCCAGCAAAGAGAGTCCCGAGAGCTCGAGATCCCGGCCGGCACGTTAACAGGATGCAATGCTCGGGGTTCCTCCTACTGGAAAACGCAGCTGGAGCTCGGGAGAAAAACGCTCGTTGTGAAAGAGTGACCCCAACCGTCGCGATGGAAGGAAACGTCTGCTGGAGAGCTCAGCTGGGAACCTCTGCTGGGAAGCTCTGCTGCCGCTCAGCCCTGCGACGCCAGACGGCGAGAGCCGAAATCTGCAGGGCTGATTGGTGTGGAACCACTGCGGGGAGACACGAGACAGGAACAAAAGTTACAGGGTATCGCAGGAAACTCAGCTCCGTGTCCTTCTCCAGCAGCAGTTCTTTTGCGGGGGGTGGGGGGAGTGAAGGAGGCTCGTGAGAACCTGGTTTGGCATTAAAACACTGGAAAATACATTTGAGTCCCCAAGATCCAGGTGTTAGGAGGTGGGATTTAAATGCATCGAGCTCTCTGTTTTCACTGCCAGTGGCACTGAGACATGGTGCTGTTCCTGGCATCCTCTTCCTGGGACCAGGAACCCTCCTGGTCCATGGAGGTTACCTGTGCCACTGCAAGACCACAGGAAGATCATGCAGGAGTTGATATAAACCTCATAAAATAGAGGAAAATGCAGTGACTAGTGGGAATGTAGGGGACAGAGGACCAAGTTACTATTTTTTCAACATCACCAATAGAAATTTCTACATAATAACTCTGTCTGCATCTTGCCTTTGCCTCCCCACCCTGTTGCTACTCCTTTTGGCTTCAAAGCAATCCCAGACTCCTGTCCCAAATAAACCACAATCCCCACATGCATCCAGCCCCACTGCAAGAGACTGAGCTGGAAATGCAAGGAGCAAACAGCTGGAAGATGGTGTCTGAGCTAAATATCCCATAAAACCCCCACAGGGCCGTTGGTGAAAGCGGGCCAAGTAAGGCTGCACTCGGGGACAAGGACAGGGCACTGCTGCGCTCACATTCCCGTGGCTCTTCCGGCAGGATGATGGCCCCAGCAAGTCTTGGGAGAGATCTGGAGGACAAGGAACTCCAAAACACAGCCCTTTTGGATCAACTGGAAGGAAAACTTGGCAAATAGTTTTAAAAATGCTTCAAAAAAAATGCTGTCAGAGCTAAAAGTGACACTTTAATAATTCCCTAGCTCTCAGAGGTTTCAGTGTTCCAAGGAAGCTCCTCACTCAATAAAAAGGAAGAAAATGCTAAAAGGCATATGAGGCATTTCAGCTGGTCCGTATAACCTGCCACCCTGCCCGGCTTCCCTCAGCACCTGGAGATGGGGGGTACAGTGGGGCAGCGATGGCTGGGGAGGGAACGGGCACCCACACTTTGGTGAGGAGCACTTGGGGGGCGATGGCAGGAACATGGTGTCGCTTGGCGAGGGGCCACGTGCCTGAGTTGGTGGCACATGTACCCTGTGTACCCTGCGCACCCCGTGTACCCTGCACCGCATGTACCCTGCGTACCCCATGTCCCCCAGCCCCTCGCGGCGTTCCAGAGGAGCAGAGGCAGCGTGCCGGGGCGAGGCGCTTGGCTCTCACGGAGGCTCAGCCTCCTGTCCTCGGGCCGGTTCCCATGACCCGCTGCACTTCCTGTGGCTGGATGGCTCCGGGACGTGGTGGCGGAAGCGCTGCGATCCCGGTGGAAGGAGAGGCCAAGAGCCAGCCCAGCCTGGGAACAGCCTCCGTGCGGAGTTCCCCACAGCCGTGACACCCAGGGTGGGATCCGCTCGCGGCCAGGAACTGCTGTGCCTCCTCCAACAGGTCTGTGGATGTCTCAGGAGAGCAGCTTTCAGGACACTCGGTCCCGGGGGATTTTGGCTCCGTGTCCAGCACAAGTCTGTGCCCTGAGCAGAGCTGTTACACAACAGTTTGTAAAACGACCAGGGTTGGCTCCAGCCAAAAACCACATCCCCTCACTCCTGAAGGGCCGGCTGAGGGGGGCACTCTGTCAGTGCTGCCAGCCTTGCACTGGTTCCCATCCCTTCTTCCAGAGCTGTGCAGGAGGAGGCAGGAGACTGGGGGGCTTCCTGGTCAGGGTCAGCCCTTGCACACTGGGCACCAGAGCTCTCAGGTACGTTCCACACCATTCATCACACACACACCGAGGCAGAGCTATTCAAAACCTCAAATCCAAAGGATCCAAGTGCCAGCCTCCCTTCGAGAGGCTTCACAAGTCCCCTCCTCAGGACATCCTACCAACTACTATGGTCTTCAGTGAGGTTTCCAACAGGTGTAGCATCTTTATCCATGCCCCAAACCCATAGGTGAGATCCAACATCATGTACACCCAGCTTCTGGTGCTGAATTTTGGAATGCCCTCCATGCAGGCGGCTCAGGAAGCTTTTTATCAGTGTTGCAGAGCACTACAGATGGCAGCTCATAGATCCCTGACTCTGTTGTTTGATGGGCATGTTCTCAAGTTTCTTCTTGCAAATCATTTAGACCTTCCCTGAGCTTGAGATCACTTGAAGCCTGTAACTAGAGCCCAAGGAACAGGAGACTCCCCCTGCACATAATGACAACAGTGTTCCAGACCAGCATGTTTGGATATCCTGAAGGAGAGAGGTCTCTGGAAATCTGTTTAGCCATAGGGTCTTGAAGACAAAGGCATTTAGTTTCCCAGGGACTCCTCTTGGTAGGTGAAGCACCAGGACGAATCCAGCTGGAATCACCTGCAACACAAAGGTGTTTCTGTTCCAAAAGGAGGCCCTTTTCCTGTCCCCCCTTGTTTCTTTCCTCTCTCCATTATTTGTACAAAGCTGTGTTCAAATAACACTTCCTATATTCTATAGATTTGAAACAGGAAAGGATTGTAAGTTTATATCAAAGGAAGGAATTTAGCATATTGTAAATAATGCATCATTTGGAAAACTATCTGTTAGATCACAAAGCACAAATTCAAGGAGACAAGCACCTACATACAAAAACATTAATGATAAAACTACCCACAGGACAATTTTAACAGTATTTGGGTAATATAAAGGAGCAACCTAAGGGTTAGCAGTGCCCTGGCTTGTGGTGAACATGCTGCAGCTGCTGACAAGAGCCAGGAGCCATGTGTGGGCTCCCAGGCCACAGCAGGGCAGGCAGCTCTGAGGAAAAATTTTCTTCCATCAGCCCTTTGCCTCTGTTCACAAATGATCTGGAGGGTGAACATCCAGCCAGCCTCTGCAGGGAGCCCCCAGCAATTTCACTGAGCCTGCAAATTCCTGCAGGGCTGCGAAAACTGGAACTTTATGAATCCGGCTGCACCGGAACAGAAACGCGCCCAGCAGACGCCTCACACGCCCAGAGAGCCACGGGAGAGAAGAATCCAAGCACACAGGTTTGGGGTTTTTGCAGCCAGTGCATCCTCAAGCCCCCTTGGCAAAGTCCATGTGACATGCAAGGGGATAGAATCAGGATGAGGTTCTAGAAATATGTGGATCCCAGACCTGGACTGAACGCTCACTGGAGTGATCCAGTGCAGTGAAACAGGCCCAGACACATTATCATGGGAGGGTAGAATTGAGAAAAACAAAATTATTAAAGCAAAAGGAGGGAGGTGTTTTGCCTGGACAGGTCCTCAAGCTTCTCAGCTCTTTGTTTCCAACGGCTGCACTGCCAGCACAGGAGGTGTCAACAGACAAGAGCTCAGCAGCCGGGGGTGAATCCTTGGCCCAAACCACTGGTGCTGCTGTGCAGCATCCCTGAGACTGGTCACAAGCCCCTTTGGAGGACAGGACCAACCCCCTGGTGTTGGACCCATAAGACCTACTCCTAGGCTCAGTCTGCTTAAAGCTGTGATGTGAAAATGAGGGGAGAGCCAGACTTACAAGGGGAGAGCCAGGCTTACGGTGCTGCTGGTGTCACCTCACCAGGGCAGAGCTTTGGGACAGCACTTTAAGGACTTCAGATTTTCAGATTTGGGACTTCCAAGATTTCCTATTTTATGGTACAGCCCTAGGTTAAGACAAATGACACAAAACAAGCTCCTCCAAGACAGTTCTGAGTTCTTGCCATGTGAAATTTTTAAGAAGCCTTGCTCAGGTACCACAAAATGTCCTGGGAAGACGCAACACTTTAATTTTCCAACGGCCCTTGCAGTGTGCAGTCACTCGTGGTCTTAAAACGCAGCTCCAAGAGGCCTTTTGGATTTTTGGCTGGAGTAGCAGTGGCTCCCAACATCACCGACACACCACTCAGCCTTTTCCACAAGCCATCTCCATTCATAGGAGCATATCCCAAAGCACCAAAACCAGACAGCAAACCAGCTTCTGCCAAGTCCCGCTGTGCAGAGGCAGCACACAGGCCCCATTCTGGTTAAGTTCAGGCAGCTCCATCAGAAACACCCCCAGCTCCATCCATCCCACCTTCCCACAGCACCTACAAGGAGCCAAGACAAGACCTATTTTACTCCAGGAATAAGCAGTGGAGCTGCTGTTCCCAGCTCACACGTGGGTAACTGCAGAGAAGTGAACAACGCCTGGTATGGAATGAACAGGGAGCAGGGATGTGCCAGGAAAGATGAGCTCATTGTAAAAATAATTGAAAGAGCTTTTAAAAAAAATCAATAGAAAGCCCTGGTTGCATTCAGATGTGCAAAATCCAGCAGCAAGGCAACTCCCCACCACCCGAGGCCTTTCCTGTATGCTCCTTTTCACCAATTTGTCCTTGATTTTTCCCCTTTTTGTCTCTGTGCCACCTGCCATTGCTGCACTGAGTACCCTGGAGTGTGTCCTACTCGACAAGCAGCCAAGGAAAAGAGCTCGGGGCACAGAGCAGCAGGGATGACGCAGAGGAGCTACAGGCAGTGGAAGGGAATCACACAAGTATTACTTTTGGCTGAGGAAGAGGTGACCTCTGGAGTGAACCCTGGCTCCTGCAGGTGCTCCTTGCTGCCAGCTCGGCTGACACAGGCCGGAGCTGGGAGCCACATGCCTCAAACTCACACCTACACGTTCCCAGGAAAGCTGTAGGCCATGGATTACTTTTTCCATCACACCCCATTCCATCACACCCCATTCCTTGGTTCTGTTGTGCCAGATCACCATGGGTGGAGGGATTGCCTTTTCCCAGTGTTTGCCGGTAAAAACCCTGCTGGCCTCTCCGGAGCAACTCATCCCAACACTGGTGCTTGGAGGGACAGCCAGGGACTCTCCCTGGCATGTTTTCTGCAGTGGCAGATCCCAGCAGAGCCCTCTCCAAAGGTGTTGGCACTGGCACACAGCACCCTCCAGGAGCACGGAGCTCATCGGTTACACAAGCCAATGACAGACCCTCTCATGCTGGGCCACCACATCACATCACTGGCTCATCCCCCTGACACTATCCAGCTCCTCAGCCCATCCAACACCCCCAGATTCGTGCCACAGGGGAACACCTTCCCTTGGTGCCGACACACATCCCACTGGCATAAGGAGGGGCGACACCTCCTCATGGCACAGCAGAGGGAATTCATCCCTTGCCATGATTTCTATGTCCTGCCCATTCCCTGGTTCCGGGCCTTGGAACACGCCGGTTATCACAGCGTTCTGAAACAAGACGTTCCCTGACCTGCTTTTCCCTCATCACTAATTCACACCGAGCAGGTTTCAGCTCAGCTCATGCATGAACTCCACGCTGGCACCGCTTAATGGCTAAAGAACGAATTCTGACAAAGCTCATTAAAAAAGCAAGCCACTGATGTCAGCAACGTGCCTTCAATCTGACCCCCAGCTCCAGGCAGGTCTGCCAAGGAATCAACTCATCCTGTTGGAAATATAAAGGGAGAGCAGAAAACTATTGCCATGGCCTGGAAGGAACCTCGTTTGTTGTTACAGATGTGAAGCAGATCAAAGACACGGGTGAGTGACACCAACCAATTCAACTGCTCAAACAATTAAAATCCACCTTGGAGATGGGCACTCAAGACACAGTTCCAGCCGCACAGATGGGCCAGCTTTAGGGAATTTATCCACAGCTCACCTCAAAACACAGGGAGCCAAAATCCCAGGAAAACTCCCGGTACTGCTGAGGCTATAACAGACACAGACATGTCAGCACAGGAAGAAAGAGCTGGCAGCAGGGCTGGGAGGACTGAGGTATGAAAACAAAATTCCTTGGCAGTGTTCATTTTTGTTTTTCCCTTAGGAAAACAAGATCCTCACGTCAAAAAAAATTGAAAAAGAGCAGTCACAGAAGGGGGATGAAAAGGTGCTGACGAAAACATAATTCCATCCCTGGATACATGTCCAGCCCTAGAAAGTTCTGAATGACACATTTCTAATGATGTTTTTAAATAACTACAGGGTATTAATTACATTTAAAGCTACCAACCCTTTTCCCTCTTTGTCTGGAAACCTCTGGAAGTGTTTTCCATTAGGCAACACTTCTAAGCACAGCCAGCTATGCAGCGCTGCTGCAGGTACCGAGGAACTGCGTCAGCAATACATGGTACCCACCACACACCCCCCAACCTCCACTCCCACAAGGAGGGCACAGCCGAGGGACAAGTGTGTGGTAATCCCTGGGGAACAGGCACAGAGAAGGGCTGCATCTCGCCGCTTCCCTGGTACAACCCCCCCCTGCAGCGCTGTAGTTTCCCTTATGTGAGCGACCGCATCATGGCGAGGTCAGCGAGAGCCCCTGTGACTGCACGGCCACGGAGCTGTCGAGCGGGTGAACCCGCTCCAGGAGCTTCCTCACTAACAAGGAGATCCAGGACTCCAGCCAAAGAAGAGCACGGAGTGAATGTTGGAGGGACAGCCCATCCCACAGGGACCCCACTTGCCTCCGTGGCCCTGAATACCTGGGCAGTGTCTCTGCTGTCAGCCCTGTGCGCAACAAGGCTGTGACTGAGTGATCAACTTCCCGTCACCTTAGCCTTGCCTCTCTCCCACCTAAGAGCTTCCATCCCAACATCAGGCAGTTCTGAGAGGCTGGAGCCACCTGCCCAGCCTCAGCCCACAAGTGTCACCAGCTCCAGGATCCACGAGTGTCACCAGCTCCAGGCACAGAGGAGCTCTGGGTCTCCATTCCCCAGCTGGGGAAAAACCTATCAGTTCTCTCCGTAGTTTGTCCCGATGGACAGTATTTTTAAGAGCTACATAGTCCACAATTAGCCACAATAATTAATGAAGATAATTAAGGAGATGCTCAACTAGTGTTTGCAAGCCTCTAAAACAGAGAGGTTGCAGGTGTCTTGTGTTCCGTATCTAGAATTTGGGATAATCAATCCCAAAACCTGGCAAAGCTATTCAGAGGTGTGCGTTCTCCATCAGACTGGCTGCACCAAAAAGAAACTGTCCAAAAATGTGGCACAACAGCATTTCTCACTGCCAAAGTCCCGGGCAGGGCAGTAAAACCAAAGGAGAATCCCCAGCACAGGTGGGAACGAAGCAGTGCAGGGCCTTGTAGGGCAGGGAAAGGGAGAGTCAGGAGTGCTGTGGGCAGTGCTGCCACTGCCAGTACCAATGGAGAGGACAGGCAGGACCTCAGAGTCCAAGTGAGGTGGGTTTTTCTCTGTGAAATACTTGCCTGCCCAGGGGCTGGGGGGCTCAGGAGCAGCACGGAACTGCCACAGTCCAGCCGTGCCCAGAGTATCCCACAGCAGCTTCGTGCAGGGAATGGCCTCGCATGGCCAAGAAAGGCAAAAAAAGGAGCCCACTGGCCTCTGCTAGCAGCAGCACCACATGAACAGTGACACCACAGCCCAGCTGTCAGGCCCAGCTTCGTGTGATGGCTCTGCCACCCCAAAACTGCGGTGTAAGGGCACATCTTGATTCTGGAACCCCAGGCAGGGCAGGAACGATGAGCCCATTGTTCCCAGCAGGATTCTCCGTGTTCCCTCCTCCGTGCCTGGGGGACATTGAGGCACAGAGCAAGTGACATGAAGGGCTTGGCACCCAGACAGGGGCTACCAGCGATGCCCCTGTGGCTTCCAGCCCCATGTTTACCAGGACACCTCTCAGAGCACCCACCACCCACCCCAAAAGGGGCTCATGGGCACAGACACCCAAACCAGCAGCACCTCAGCAAAGTGTTTGAGAGCCATGAGCAGCACCAGAGACCTCGTGCTTTGCACACTCTCCTCCTCAGCACAGATGGGGACACAGAGTGACACGCAATAAAAAACACAAACCCTTCCCGGGGGGATACAAAAATAATACCACGAACATTCCAGCTTCCCGAACAACAATCGCCTGAGAAGCCGGCACTGTGGGAAAGTCTCAGCTTGCTTTTCCTGGGCATTATAAATAGAACCACGGCTGCAAGCAGGGCTGGAAATGCGAAGGAAGGGGGGAAAAGCCATTTAATGGGCTCTGTTTGAACTCAGGCCCTGGCTGGTGTCCAGCTCTCTGCAGAACAGCTGGTCCCTTCCTGCCGAGTGAAGGGCAGCGCTGGGAACCGGGAAGCCCAGGCCCAGGGCTGCCTGTGGGATCCCAGGGTCCGTGAACCCACCAGGGCATTGCACCCCAGGCTGCTGCAGGTGCCACTCAGGAGCTCCGGCATGGGGCAGGGCTGAGATTGCCGAGGTGGGTCAGTGTGAGGTTCTCCAGGACTTCAGCCCTCAGGGCTGGCATCCACAGGGTCTCCCAGAGCTTCTCTTCCAAAGAGCTTCCCGATCCCTGACCCTATGTGAAGGCTCAGCACCCACCAAGCCCTGCAGGACTGAACCTCACAGTTTCCTCACTCTGCCTGGTTCTCCAGGAGCCTCACCTTTGGCTGTGTGACTGCTGCTGTCTGTCCCTTATGGATACACTGCTCACCAAGAGTCCCTGCAGAGCCCTGCCATGGGCAGCTCCACATCATGTTATCCATGTATTCATTCCTTACTCCAGCTCCTACTCATCCAGATTATGAGCTTTTGGCATCCCAGGTCACATTTAAGCACCAGCCCCATACTTTAAGCAGGATATAGAATGGAATGAGTTGGGCTGGAAGAGACCTTAAAGCTCATCTCATTCCAACCCCCTGCCATGAGCAGGGACATCTTCCACTAGACCAGGTTGCTCTAAGGCCCATCCAGCCTGGTCTTGAACATCACCTGGGACGGGGCAGCCACACTTCTGTGGGCAACCTGGGCCAGGGCTCACCACCCTCACAGGGAAGGATCTCCCTGCCCAATCTCTCACCTCAGCGCCAATGGCTTGTTCCGTGTGGCACCACCAACACTCGGCTGTTCATTCCTCGGCCCTGATGCTCCCAAACCTCCCATAACCTCGGCTCCAGTTCCCACCCGGGGCCTTGTCACTTCCCACAGCCCAGGCGGCCGGCCCTGCTCCCACCCCTGGGTTTGCTGCCAGCCCCGGGGCCTAGGGACTACGTGAGACCTGCCCCACGGGGGGGGGCTGAGGGAGCCGAGATGCTGAAGGGAGAACCGGGTCCCTGAGGAGAACAAGGGGATTCTGAGGGGAGAATCTGGAGCCTCGGGCGCGCGCCCCGCGCCCCCTCAGGGTACGCGCGAGGCGCGAGCGCGCGGGGGGGCGGTGACATCACTGGCGGGTGGGCGTGGCCGGGGCGCGCGCCTTTGTTTGGGGCGGTGGGTTTCCAGGCTGCCCGCGCGCCGCGGGGCGGGGCGAGGGGCGGGGCCGGGCGCGCGCGGCGCGGGGGGGCGGGGCCGGGCGCGTGACGCGGGGGGCGTGTCGGCGCGCGGGCCCGCGGGGTCAGTCGGAGCGCGGAGCGGAGCGGGGCAGCAGCCGGGCACCAGCGCGACCAGCCGAGCCGCAGCCGGACCGGAGCCGAGCCCAGGATGATAAACACCCAGGACAGGTGCGCGGCGCCTGTCCTATCGCCCCGCAGCGCGGCGGCGGCGGGCGGGCCTGGGGCGCGGGCAGGCGCTGAGGCGGTGGGGAGGCCGCGGGACGGCGGGGAGGCCGCTCCGCATTTACGCGATTAAAATCCCCACTGAGGCGTCGCTTCCCCGTGAAGGAGCCCCCCGGGGGTGGGTCTGGGCTCACCGCGGCCTGAGCACCTCTCGCCGACCGGTCCTGGCGCTCGCTCCCCGCACCCCCCGCACCTCTTCCTGCCTGCGGGAAGGTGGCTTTTTCCAGGCAGGTTGGGGATCAGCAGGCACCAACTTGCAGGATCTGTGTATTTTTCTCAGCTGACCGATTTTATCTCGTGTGTCTGTTCCTTGTTTAGAGTCCCCAGAGTGTCATTTCCTGCGCCTCTGTCGCCGATAAGAGCCCAGAGGATGCGCACGGAGCAGCCCCGGTTCTTGGCTGCTGCCTTTGTGGGAGATGCTTGACCTGTGCTGTGGTCATCAGATGGTTATTTGCAATTTGCTCCTCAAATCCTGGATATGTGTCTTGCAATAATAATATATTGTTATTATTGTGGGCCAAGTGCAGCTGCATCTCCATAGCCTGTTTTGGAAAGGGGCAGAAAGGAAAACAAACAAAAGAACGTCATTTCTCCAGTGTCAGGGGAGCTCTTTGGATCCTTCCTTCTGGTCTAAGTGTTCAAAACAATTAAAACCCCTAAAACACAGGAAAGTGTGCAGATTTCAGCCCCCGAGGTGCTGGTCTCGGCCTGGCTCCACGTGCGAGGCTTGCTGAGGAGCCTTGACGGAGTTCCCAAGTTGCTGAGGTGTCCTTTGCGCTTCCCAGGGACAGGGCACGGGGTTGGGATCGCTGGGAGCTTAGGGAGTTAAAATTACACCCGCGGGATGAGAGTGTAACGCCGGCTTCCAGCTCCCCTTTCGGGCAGGGCTCAGCTGAGCCACTTTTGCTGAGGAGTTTCTCCAGGGAAAGGTCTTAATCTCAACCAAGCTGTGGGAAAGCTTCTTCAAGGAGGAGAGAGGTCAGAAGGGAGCACAAAGCCTAATTTTTAAGCTACAAACAGGCCTGAGGGAGCAGGGTTGCCGTGGGCTGTTGGTGCATGGATGCATGGAGTGATCAGACCTTTTGGGTGTTTGCGTGAACTTTTTCCCAGGAGCTGGAGAAAGCAAAATCTCTTTTAGTCTGTGCCCCAAATACACCCTGAGGGTGCTGCCCTCGGGACCCTAATTTTGGAAGGGGATAATGGTGATGTGCGGGGATCCTAATTTTGGAGAGATAGTGGTGGTGTGCAGGTCTGGGCAGTGCCACAGGCAGGGCTCAGTGGCTGAAGGGGGCTTGTGTTTTGACTTCTGCATGTGTCAGAGGAAGCGAAACTGGGAAGTGTCTTGAGCTGCTTTGCATGAAAACTACTGCCTCTCTGTTTGATTTTTTTTTTTTTCCCACAACTCCACTTCATTATCCAGCTTCTCCATGCCTTGGCCGCAAGTTGGAGAGAGCTATCAATAGTACATTGTTGGCTGGGGGGTGAGGGAGGAGGGAAGGGAATAACAAAGCTGCCAACAGCTTTCTGGGGGTGGGGACGGTACAAAGTGCTTTGTCATCCTCTCCACAGCTACTACTACTGAACACACACTGGCCCATTGATAGCCCCGGGCACACCGGGGGAGCACAAAACACCCGGCTTCGCTGGCTTCCACCTCGAACATCTTCTGTTGTATTTAAATAGCCTGTTCTCCAAGAGGTCCCTGCTCTGAGCCATGGCACATGGGAACCCTGCGCCAGAGCCCAGCCTAGCGAACCTGGAGGAAGAAACAAGTGGAGGAAGAATATTTGTGTTTCCTGTAGAAAGATGGTTTTGGTAGGAGGTGGGAAGCCGAGATCCTTGGGGGATTCTGCCTGTGTTGTAACTGCGTTTGTGAGTTTTGTTTTTGGCATTCAGAAATGCCAGGTTTTAGTAGCTGGTTTGCAGCCTGCACAGGCAGGTTACAAGGCCAGGTTGGACAGGGCTTGTAACCTTGTTGCTCCTTGTTGGACAGGAGCAAACTGGTCCGGTGGAAGGTGTCCATGGTAGGGGCTGGAACTGGACATGCTTTAAGGTCTCTCCCAGCCTGAACCAGTCTGTGATCTCCAGTAGTTCAGGTGGTTCTGACAGTGCAGCTCCATACTTGGTGTTTGGATATTTAAGCCTGTCTGCCTCGTGGAGAGGGATTAGAGTGGAAAAACACTGTATTGGGAACAGCTCAAGTGAGAAGTTTCAGGACAGACAGCGAGTTGTCAGTACAGCTGCAGAGTTTATCCACTTTAGCCTCATTCCTGGCCCTGTGCTCATGAAAACCCTCCCTCACCCCTTTGTTTTGGTGCTGCTTCTACAGCTTTGCTCTGGTGTGTTCCATAATGTTCCACTGGGGAAGGACTGGTTTCCCTGCATAGCTTTTGCAGACTGTGTTAGAGGAACACTGAGCCTCCACACAGAGCTTTTGTGGTGCTGGAGAGGAAGCAAAGCTGCAGAAAGTAAATTAGTTTGCTTTCATGAGCTTCCTAAAAGCCAAAGCAGGTATTAAAGGTTGTGTCCAAAGTGAGCATGGAAGACCACGTGTAGGACTTCCAAATAAACTTGGAAATTGGAAGGGAAATGTGTTTTCTTGCTTGTAAAAGTAGATATCTGGGGTGAACTTACAGTTTTTAGGGTTGGGGTGAGGGACACTTGTCTGATGCTTCCCGTGCCTGTGAACACGTTGCCGCGGATGTTGTGGAGCGCGTTGAAGGTGTCTGAAGAACCAGCCCTTTCGCTCCTCCTCGGTTTGAAAACATGAAACTTAAACCTCCTCCTCCTGGGCCCTGTTGATCTATTTGTAGATATTTGTCTCTAGAAAATGCATGCTCATCTGGTCATGCATTCCCAGCCATCTGCTCCTGGCAGCCTTCCAGGCCTCTCTGATTAGCATGAGGTTGCTCAGCACTCTCTCCGGGTTCCTGGCTCCAGCCCCTCCTCCATTCCTAACAAAACACTCGAGTTCTGGTGCCACTGGGGCAGTGGGTGGTTTTGATGTCGACATCTGGGTGCTGTGGAGGAGCAGGGATACGAGTGATTTGGGGTTTTGAGGAGCTAGAGCCTCCAAAACATGATCCCTGCTAATGTAACCTAGTGTTCTCTCTCTCTTTTTCTTGCAGTAGTATTTTACCTTTGAGTAACTGTCCCCAGCTGCAGTGCTGCAGGCACATCGTTCCAGGGCCTCTGTGGTGCTCCTGATGCCCCTCACCCACTGTCGAAGATCCCCGGTGGGCGAGGGGGTAGCAGGGATCCTTCTCTTTCGGCTCTGATATATAAGGTGAGAAAGATTTTACGTCTAAGTAATGACCTGTACCCGTGTTGCAACTGTGTTTGGTTCCTTTTGCAGTCCGATGGGAATAAATGCAAAGAATTCCAAGGTAATAAGTGGGAGAACAGGTAATTTTTCAGCGACTGAGCTGCAGGCAGGGCTCTCCTGCTTAAATATCACCTGTTTATTAAGAAAGGAGAGCCCATTGTGCAGCAGATCATTCAGCAGCCCTGCTCCCAGGGGCCTGTTGCAGCTATTGTCAACAGAGCCTGCATTATCAAAACATGAAAGGACTTCTGAAAATGTCTGGCAGAAGGAGGAAGCGGGCAGCAGAAAGGTGAAACAACGAGGGAAGGGTTGATAAGCTCCTTTCTGTGCCCTGGTCTGGAAGGTGAAGCTGTCGGGGCCTGGGAGCTGCCTGAACCCAGGTACAGATGGGAAAGGCAGCCACCCACCTCCCAGCCTGGGGTGTTTCTAGAACATGTGCAAGGGCAGGGCAAGATAGGAAGGTTCGTGTCTGCAGACTTGCAGGAGCACGTGGCTCTGTGCAGTTCTCTCGTTTTTCATCCCTCTTTGTTCCGTGGGACCTTTCCTTCTGAATGAGATCTGGCTGCTCCTTCCTGTAGAATAATTGGCACTTGTGTGACTTTGGCTCACATCTGTCTCTGTTTCTGGGACAAGGGCTGCTTTTCCACATGCCAGGGATGAGGCAGCCTAAAATTATGCTCACCTTGCAAATTTGGCTGTTGAGCCAGGGGTGTTGTCACAGGTGTTAGACTTGATTTGTAATTACCCCGTGGGTGGCACACAGACGTTACATGATGAAAAGATACAGACCCTTCTGGGCCACAGCTCCCAGAGCCTCCTCTTGGAATTCATGAGAGAATGCCAGACCTCACAGCTGCTTTCAGAGTTTCCTTTGGTGAATTTTTAACACGTTCCTCACCTCTGAGCCTCTAGTGACAACGTGCCATCAGCTGAATGCTCGAGGTGAATTGTCACAGATGTTAGAGGGGTGTGTACTCCAGAGAAGCAGCACAAGAGGCTCCTTGTCACAGAAAGAAGGTACAAAAAGAAGGTACAAAAATAGCTTCAGGAGGGCTCAGGACAAGTAATGAATCCTGTCTAGGTGAGAAACAGGAGACCCTGCAGGTGAAACTCCTGCCACCCAGCTTTGCCAAGCCTTGTGTACACCACCAGGCAAGGCCCAGAGGCAGAAAATGGGCTCAGTGTGGAGGGGGAGCTGGTGGAAGGAATCACAGTTCTGAGTTTTCAGTACAGCCATGAACTTGCAGAGATTTTGGCAGTGGTATGTAGGCACGGGGGATGTCATCCTGATAGCTGCATCCCAGAAATATGGATGGAATTCTTCCTGGCTTTATTGCTTGACAAGACTAGCAGAA